TTTGAAGAGTGAATGACTAGGTTTGAGATTTGGGTCATATTGATTTCGTAAAACAATCATATTGAAATCATATCAATCAAAATCTGACAGGGTCATGCAAACGGTTTCTGTTAGGGGCGCAAGTGATCCACGGGGGCAAGTGATCCAAGATTGTGGGCGCAAGTGATCCGTCCGCCGTGCTCGATTCAGGGCACGCTTCCGCTTTCCATTCGAAGCCAACCAGGGGGTACCCAAACGATGTTGTCCAATCGTCGCATCACTGTTTTCTGAGATGTTTTTTTGGGTGCGTGACGGTAGGACTGGGCAGGACTTGGGCTGGAATAGTTAATTACAATGGATGGATCACAGCAATGAACATGCAATATATGTCACTCCAGGACTCCAGGACCTTCCTACCCTTTTGTCCGGTGGAGGAAGGGAAACACGGGCGTATCGGCCGCTGGACCGCGCGAGCCACGAGCAGCGTGTTGCTAGGTCGCTGAAGCAGCACTTGGACCTGGCCAAGAAGAACGCCGGAAAGGTGCTGTGGGAGTTCCAGGTTGCTGTGCCAAAAGACTCGTTTTACAGCATGGGTGAACAAATAAAAATTGAAGTTTACAGCAACTCCAGAGGAATTGGGTTTGCTCTTCAGGGTTTTTTCGTGTGGGTCCTAGAATCATAAACGACTCTGACATTCAGTTCTTGCGAGAGAGGAAAACTGTTTGTCTAGACTGGATTTTTTGAAAATTTTTTGGTGACTGTGAGCTGAATGGTGAAGAGGGTCTGCAATCTCCACTAGATTAGTAGATTGTGTTTCGATCTTCCCAAGCAGCATGATCACAGCCATAGCCGGCCCCCTCAGCACCGGTGTGGTAAGCATGGTTTTTACATTTTCACCTGTTCAAGAGGTCTCAGATCTGAACTGTAGGACTGTAGGACCCACAAGCACTTACAATATCTCTAATCGTTTTGCCGAATAAAAAAACAAAGAAACGAAAACAACAAATCGCAGCTGGAGAAATCGAAAGCAACAACAAAAAACACACGTAAACCAAAAAGAACAAATCCAAATGAAACAAACACAAACAACAATAAACAAATCCCAAAAAATCAAATGAACACTGTTTGTGTTTTTGTTTGTTCATTTTTTGTTTTTTATTTGCCTCTTAATTGTTTTTTTGGTCTTTGTGTTTTCATTTGTTGTGTTTTGTTTTTTTGATTTGTTTTGTGTGTTTTGCATTTTCATTTTGGTTTTTGGATGTGTTTTTGTTTGTTTTTGCTTTTTGTGCCAGTGTTTTTTTCTATTTTTTATTTTGTTTTTGCATGTTTGTTATGCTCAAGATTCCTGGGTCCGGCGATGTTAACTCTAAGGGGCTACTAATGGACACCCCGAAGGGGGGCCGTCCTGATCCTCACATTCCAGTCGTTCGTGCGAATCAGTCCTACGATGCTCTGGATGTTTCAGGTGCCATTTCGACGGGCCCAGCGTTTTTTCATGGTTTGCCCCTGGCCATCTGCCAGGTATGGGGGAGTACTTCTAAGATGTTTTGGCGCAACTTGTTTTGGCCAGTGGAACCGCCCTCCGGAGCCATTTTTGGCGCAGAGGATGCAGAGCATTTCTCTTTCTCCCCCCCCCACCTCCCAGGGGTCAGTGAACGACTTGGATGGGAATGGATGGGGATGGATGTCTTCCATTCCGCGTCGCGCGGTCGGCACCAACGGCCGCCAGGGGTCGCCCACTCCTTCACGGATGTCACAGACGTCACAGGGGCTCTCCTCACCGGCACCGTCACAGGGGCCTTCCCCCCAGCCGTCTCCAAGGTGCGGGGGTGATGTGTTTGGCGAAGCATGGACCATCGAATCGAGTCGTGGGTGTTTCTGGGTGGAAGGTGTTTTTTTGCTGGGGTGGTGGGTGGAGGGAGCCCGTCTTGTATTTTTCACGAGAAAATAGCTTATAGGCGCATTTAGGTGCATTGCTTTCTGTTTTTGTTGGTCCCGACAATGCATGGGACTGGCATGTAATATGGAGTGTGAATGGAAGTCTGACAGCGTGACACGCCACTTTGGACAAGGCTTGGCCAGGGCACGGCCCCCCCTCCACTACCCGCCCAAACCCCTCTTCAGCTTGGGCCAGGCCCTCCAAGACGCGAAGCGACATGGCCAAAAGCAAAGACAAGGCCCTCGGCCGCGCTAGACTCCAACGAGAGCGCCGAGATCGGGTGGGTTTTGGCGGGGTCCGGTCCAACTCGGGTCGAGTCAGCTCGCGACTTCTCGGACGGACGCACGGGAAAACCGCTGTGACTTCGACTCGGCACGCTGTGACTTGGAAACCGGATGAGCGAAGAATTCTGAGAATGGGTGTCATTCCCATCGAATGCCACAGTGCCAGGGCCATCCTTTCCCTCCAAAAAGAAATAGCTTCATAGGCATCCCCGACATGGAGCTTCAATATGAGCCCTTTCAAGCCCATTCAGGCCCTTGGCAGGTTACAGCGAAGCGATCAGAGATATCGGAGCCGTCAGCACGAGGGGTTTCGACCTTCACATCCCGGGTCCTCTGAGCAGCAGTGGACTGGAGCTGTTGCAGCCTGCCGTTCCTTGTCCATCTTTTCCAGGGAGACATCAACGCAGATCGTGTTTCCACGCACCTTTTGACCAGATGGTCTCCAACTTCTGGATGCTTCACGCGTCGTCTCAAAATAAGGGAACTGGAACAAAGAGGGACCGCTCAAAAAAGACCTCTTTTTCTTCAGCTCTTGGACGTGGTCCCACCATGTCCAACCTGCAGTGAATGTATCAGAAGCGATTTGAGGAACTACGACATGTCAATGTCCCCCAATACTTGAGGTGAATGGACATTCACACGGAACAGGCAGAGCACCAAGCTAGGTCCTTCTGACCCTGAAGCCAGTGTCAAACACCACAGTAACCGGGCCTTCAGGTTCCAAGCAAAGAGAAGAAGAAGGAGGTGCGAAAGAGAAACCCGACCACACCTTGAGTGGATTTGTGGAGATCTTGGCTAAGGGCAGCCGCGCACGCCTGTGCGCCAGGATTTGGGACCGACAGACCTGCGTAGCCTTTGGTCTTTCTCGGCATTTTTCAGCCATTGGCGTTGATCAAGTGGAACAGGCTCAACGGCCCAACGTGATTTTGAACATTTTTGAACCACTTGCTGACGAAAGACAAAGAAGGTGTGCCAAAGACCCTGTGAGAGCCTAACAACACAAAGGCCGGAAAACAGTCAGCGGTGAATGACCTCCCAAATACAGCTCAAGACGCCACTGAATCAACCCTGTTAAAATGTTGCATACCAGACCCCCGAAAAGAAGAAAAACACACAATGTCCATGTAATGTTATATAATGAACGTTATATATATATATATAGAGATTTACCCCATGATGACTAATCCATGGATAGCACATCTTCCAGTACCGTGCATCGTGTTTGGGCATGTCTGGCTATGGGTTTGTGCAAAAACCAGGAGATACCCCCCGCCTTTACTGGCCTAGCAGTGAAAGCCTTGACTGCCGTCCAGATCGTCCAATCTACGCCAACGATCTCGCCAGGAAACACAAGAGGTTCCAGTGGATTGGCAAGTGCCTGAGTGCTGCAATGAGAGTGACCAGGTGGGCATGGTCCGATGGGATCGGGAGAGGGGCGCCTTCTCAGAAGGCTACAAGAACCCTTCTGAGAGTTCTTGGCCATGGAGCGAGAGGAATTTCGGACGCACAAAAAGACAACAAAGCCAAGAGCAATGATTTTGGAGGCTGAATTTAGCTTTCTTTTTCTAACATTCAACCAGATTAATCCAAAGAGAGCGGCACCCCATGGGACCTGTGTTTTGGTTTTCCATAAGTTTTAGTTAACATCTTAAGTGGTAGCCTGCCCTCCATATCTGATACTGCGAAACATATTACAAAGATTAATAAATTCACTTGTCCCGAGATCCAGAGGAAAGCTTTGAACATGAAAGCTTTTATATAAAGCTTTTCAATATAGAAGTCATCATTGCTAGAGATCTAGAGGAAAGCTTTTAAAACCAAAGTTTTTAAAGTATAGAACATATTATTCCCAGAGATTAAGAGGAAACCTTTAAAACAGAAGCTTACACATATATAGCATTATATAATGCGTTTGTTGTAAACAGTGATCATTCACAGAGATCTAGAGGATCGCCGATCGCTATTGAAATATAAGGTGTTTAGACATATAGAAATGATTATTCGAGGCGTTTATAGACAGTTTTGTTAATATAAAAACTATTTTTCCTAACAATATAGTAATATATACTGTATAGCTATCTACTCAAAAACAGTGTTTAGACCTAGTTCCCAGCACTCCCAGGACAAGAAAACACTGTAAAATACATGGTTTTGTAGCATTTGCTTTCTAAAACTCTTTTAAGTGGTAGCCTGCCCTCCGTATCTGATAATTAAAGTAGAATTCAATTTGCAGTATAGTTAAATTCGAATTGCATTAAACTTGAATTAAACTTGCACCACAGAATTAGAGCTATATAAATTGAACTGAATTAAGTTAAAATTGAGTTAGAATTGCTTAACTTAGAATTCTATTATTATTAAGCACTAAGATTGAACTAGAATTACATTAATTTTGAATTTCTTGAATTATAGAGTTAACATTGAATTGAATTAGAATCAAAGTACATTTTGATTTAGAAGTAAATTGAAAATTTAGCTAAAATTGAATTAGAATCAACGGTCCATTAAAACAGATTAAATGTAAAATACAATTAGTTATAACTCAAATGACTAATTTATAACTAAATCAGATTTGGATCTGATTTTGGTTAAAATTTGACGAGAAATGCATTACAACTGCAACTTCCACATGTTCATTACAGTTTCATATGTCAGGCTGATTGAAATTGCAACAGCACTGATACCAACCAGAAGTCAATGCACACAGACTTGTACATAGAGATGTGGACAAGGACAAAGGGAGTGTTGGGCTTAGGCGCTTTCAATGCAAGAAGAAAGAACAGATGGCTTTAGGTGAGACTTAGGTTCAAATGCTTGGAGATTGAACGAGATGGCAACAGTACAGATTGTCTTGGAAAGGAAGTAAAAAAGAACAACAAACTAAGAATTTACGCACGTATCAATAACCTTGGGAAACCAAAAAACAAAACGACTAACAAACTCAATTCTGGACCATATAAAGAAGAGGTTGACCTGATTTTGTACTCTAAACTAATCTAAAATTGTAATTTCCATGGTTGACATCCCATCGGAAGGACAGGTCAACGCTTTGACCTGTCACCAACCACCACACCAAACCAAGAGAGGTGAAGTGACCTGAAAAAGGCCCCGGAAAACCCGGCATGTCCCTTTTTTCTGGGATTGTCCAATGCCTCTTTGTTTAAACGTGCTGCAGGGTCGACGCACAACTGAGACTGGACTGTTCGCCTGGACGCAGTGAAGCCGAGGTTTTTTGGGGGATGGACCAAAAGGGCTGGACCCTCGTTGCCTTCAGGCGATG